TTGTAAGAAGTTCCTAAATATAGATTTAGGCTATCTATATACAAAGGTATAGTCATATTAAAGCAAAATGCTAATATCCATAGCACAATTTGAATTCGAGGAATTATTACTGCCAATAGAGTTGAGATTGTATTCCCTATGCAAGTATTTCTTTTATTATAATGCCTAATTGTAATGATGACCATAAAACCATTTTCTTCATTTGGATTGAGCATAGTGGTGGTTCAATTATTCTGCCTAATTAACTAACTAATGTATAATCTTAAATTTGAGAAAGAGAAATTAGGAAGCCAGATTTGTACATAATTTTCTTGAATTATAAAATTCTTGAAAATAAACAAGAATATAGAATGATTGCAAAATTGAAATCTTAATGACATACATGCTTATTAATTTTTATTGTAGTGACTTTTATGTAGTGTTTGGTATGATTCATTGTAGTCCCAAATTTTTTTATGATATTAAGATGATTGACCTTTTGTATCATATATGAAACTTACATTTGTTGTTACATATACCATGTCTATTACTATGATGATTTTACTTAAACTTTCATTTTTTTTTTATTGTTGTTGCTGGTTTGATTGTCGGTGGGCACTGACAACTGCTTATTCGCCTTTTGAGGATTAAAAGTGAAATGAAAGGAGATGGTAAGCAACAAAAGGCATAACAACACCTTCAAAACAATCGTAGTCTTTTCACGTTTAATATGCAAGTAAAAGAATTTCTATTTAAACTTCTTTACATTTTATATATCTTATATTAATAATTCCAAAAGTATGAAATCCATATCTTTAGATCGATTTTTAAGTTAAAGAAATGTGTTTAAATTTTGATTGTAATTGTTTTAAATAAGCATTTTATCCTTTTTTTTTTTGCATTGAATATTCAATGTTTATTAATTGTTTAGTTTTTATGTTTTTATATTAAAATGGTTAATTTTAGAATTGGTTTTAATTTGCATTATTGAATTATTGTTCACCTGCGTAGAAATAACATCATTTGCGTAATGCAATAAAGTTGCAGGTTTGGTTTTTCTTTTATTATCTTTTGAGTTGATTCATTTTTTTTTATCATGTGCTTGAAATATTTAATAGTTCAAAGAATATCAATGATCACAAATCAAAAGGAGGCAAGGTATAATTTTTTATTTCTTTTCATATTTTGCCCACACTTTAACCTGTTTTCCATCCATTAGATCAAAATTAGATTGGCTTCCTTTTATTTTTGAACAGAGACGAGTATCATAAACGGTGAATATGTCTTTTTTTTTTATTTTCCATTTAATGGAGTCCTAAGAATTTGTGGTCATTTTTGTTTTTTAGAATCGTAGGTGTTTTAAGACGGACAATGCTATTAGGATGGTAGAAGGGTTGAGAGATTTTAGAAGGAAGAAATGTATAGGTTGATGGATATGGTTAGCTTCTTTAAGATTTGGAAGGTTGGCTTTTATCACCAATTTTAGGAAACTTCAATGTATTCCTCAAGCTAAAACTTGAGGATACCTTTGTGTTTGTTTCTTACAAGTAAAATCATCTTCTTATTGATTCAATTTTTACGCATTTCTTTTCATATTTTCATGATTGATTTTGCTAAGATTAAGGTGATTAAGGAAGTTAAGGGGTTTATAGATTTAGGATTGAAAGAAGCTAAATATTTGGTGGAAAAAGTGGCTACTTTGTTAAAGAAATGGGTTACTAAAAAGAAAGCTAAGAAGAGGAATGACCTATTTGTAATTTTGGGAAATATGCACTAGAAAAACGTGATGAAGAATTTAAGTAGGAAGAGTGTTGGTAATTCAAGTCAAAGAGTTCAACAGGGAAAGGGTTGTGTTGAAAACCGTAAGAAACCTATGAGAAAAAGGGATAATTTAAGGAGGAAAACTCTAATTCCAGCATGGATTCTAACTTAAAAAGCTCTAATTTTGTCTTTGTGTGTGGTCCATTTTCAATGACAAGTAATGGAAAGCAAAGTGGAAAGGCCATGGATTATGATGGGGAAAATAGTGATTAAACTCATAAAAGTGAACACCAAATCAGTGAGGACATTTAAACTACTTATAGGAAAAAATTTTTGGTGATATTGAAGAACTTACACCAGATGATTTAGTTGCATATTTATTTTAGGAGGCTAAGGTCAAAAAACAAAAATTAGAATCATTAGCCTTCACTAGATCAAAACTTATTGGTCAAGTCTATTTTTGGCCATCAATATATCTAGAAAGCCTTTAAAAATAATGTGTGATATCATTTTAATAACTTTGATAAACCTTTCTCATGGTTTTCTAATATCTTGTTATTACTCATAAGTACTACATTATATATCCCCCAAATCCAGCTTGATAATTGTACTCCACTCTTAATTTATCCATATTTTAGTTAGTTTATTTATTTAACAATCCTTAGAAATATTTCTGTAAGTACTTATTTAAAGTTAATGATAACTATGTTTTTCTTTGTTTCAGACTTGGGAAAAAGATTAAAAAATCTTTCTGAAAAAGAAATCCAAGGTCTGAAGCAAATGTTTGCAAACATTGACATTGAATAGTGGCATGATCACCTATAATGAACTTAAGACTAGATTAGCTCGATTTGTATCAAAACTCATAGAGGTTGAAGTTCAACAGTTGATGGAAGCTGTAAGATACTATTTAAATTTATAATATCTAGATCTTATTTAGTTTATATCATGCATACTAACCTCGATTTTTTTTTAGTATTATGTTGCAGGTTGATATAGATGGAAATGATACTATTGACGACATTAAATTTATCATAGCCACAATGTGTAAACATAGGTTTGAAAGAGATAAACACCTAGACAAAAGCTTTTTGACATTTTGTTAAGGAAAACACCATGTGAGTTTCTCTGTCTTAACACTGAAGATAATTATACTATTCTTTTTCTGTGTAATTCTCCATAACTAGAGTTGGCAAAACATCATACTTGATATTTTCTTGGTATATTGAGTTTTGCTTTAGTTTGGTGGATATAAACATTGTTAGTATGGTTCTATTATGTTAGTACTGTTATTCATGCATCATGTATGCATTCTATTTTGTTATTTTATTATAACAACCAAATATGCATTCTATTCAATTTATGAAAAACAAAAAAAAAAAAAAAGACTTATTTTACTATAACAATGAAAAAGTATTTAGTCCCGTCACAACACATGGGCACGCTGGATACCAATTAAAATCAAAAGTCATCAACTCAAATATCTCATAACTCAAAATCTCACATCCCAAAGCCATCAAATTGAAAAAAAAAAAAAGCTATTAAAATTAAAAGATCAAATTATACAAAAGATGCCTATACTTTGTCAAAATTAAAAATTTAGTCTCTGTAATTTAATAAATTTGGTCCAATAACTAACTTTGTCAAATTTTTATTGTTAAAAATATTGACTTGGCTTTGACTTAGTGTGTGTGTCTACTTTACTGGCATGACAACTTAGATAGAAAAAATCAATTATTAAATTATGCAAATGGTCTCTGTACTCACACGAAATTTGAAATTTAATCCCTTTGGTATAATTTTATAAAAATTTCATCCTTTTACAATTTGAAATTAATAATGTTGGTACAATTACTAATAAAAATCATATTTTATACTTTTTTTAAAAATCATATTTTATTTTTAAAAAAAATCAAAATTCAAATTTTTAGAAAATTTTTTATATATTTAAAATATTAATTTAATATTTTTTAAATATTTTAATTTTTTAGAATAATATATATTTAAAATTTTAAAATTAGATTTTAATTTTCAAAATTCAAAATTTTTAATTTTTTTATAGAACTTTTCTAGTTTTTTTTTAAATGTTAAATGTACTTTTTTCAATATTTTACTTTTTCAAAAAAAATCATTTTTTTAATTTTATTTTTTCAAATTTTAACATTTTACTTAATCAAAATATTTAATATTTTTTTTCAACTTTTTGGACTTTTTATAAAATTTTCTATATTTTTATGTTTTTTAGAAATTATTTATATTTTTTAATATTTAAATAAAAAATAAATAAATTATACACAAGACACATTTGTTTTGCTTTGGTTTATTTGGGGTGAAAGAATAAAAGAATGAGAAATAGCAAAACATGAAAAGTTTTTTATTCTAGTTTATTATTTTCTTAAATAAGATTAAAAAAATGTAAAATATTTTTAAATTTTATACTTTCTTTTTAAAAACATAAAATATTATAAAAATTTTCTAAAAAAATAAAAATTAAAGTATAAAATATTTTATAAAAAATTAAAAATAATAAAATTAAGTTTTTTGTTTGAATAAAATTGTTAAATGTTGAAAAAAAAAACAAAAAATTTTGAAAAATGAAATTAAAAATATTAAAAATATTGAAAAAAATAAATTTAATATTTTTAAAAAATCTAAAAAAATTATAAAAATTTTGAAATATTGAAATTTTATATTAAAAAATTAAAATTTAAATGTCATGTGAGTATATGAATTAAATTTTAAATTTCAGATGAGTAGATAAATCATTTATATAGTTTAATAATTGATTTAATTTATCCAAATTACCATATCAATAAAATCAATGCAATGTCAATAAAGTCTATGTCATCAAATCAAAAATCATATCAATATTTTTAATGATAAAAAATTAATAAATTTATTAATTGAACTAAAATTATCAAATTAAAATTATATAAAAATAAAATTATTTAAATTACAATATAAAATTTAAATTTTAGCAGAGTAAACTTTCTGTATAATTTAATCAAATTAAAAATTGTAACAATCTCAAATTCAATATTCTCCTCCAATTGATTTAATAGAGATAAAAAATAATGAAAAATTATCAAATATATTAATAGTAAAATTTTTAATTTCATAAATAAAATTAAGATGATAATATATATCTTCATCATATATTTAAAAAATAAAAAAATTAATTAAAAAAAATATGTCATTATCTCAACTCATGAGTAAAAGATTTCAGTATCAAATAATTCTAAAAATGAAAGTATCTTATTGATTCCAATATTAAGTAAAAAATATAAAAATAAAAAGTGGAGGAGAAATTAGAGAGCAGAGAAGACGTGGGCTGCTGTCATAGGTCCTGTACCTTTCCACTCAAAAGAAAAAAAAACCTAACGCAGCTGAGCTCCACCCCTCGCTCTTCGCCGGCGGGTCATTTTCCCTCCCCACGCCCTACTTTCCGACGCCACACTCAGGTAATGGTTTTAGCTCTCTCGCATCTGTATCGCCTTCGTTTCCCTCTTGCTTTTCCTTTCAGTTTTTTTGGGTTAGATTTTCCTGAACAATTAACCATTAAAAATTTAAATTTTGTATACACGTAAATGCATGATTGTACTTTTATATGTTGCAATTTTGTTCAATTTCAATTGATCAAAATTCTGATTATGAGCTTATCACTTAAAGATAGGTTTGAATTTGGTAGATTAATGGAGATACGTTAAAGCATTTGAAATATTTGTGGTTATTTTAGTTTTCTAAAATCTTTGTATTTATGTGGAAGAAATCTTGAAATAGGAATTGAATGGCTTATATCCAGCGTGGCAGAAATGCCCTCAGGCGAATTATCAAAGACACCAATGCTCAGAATCATGATCGTTTGATGCAACCTCTCTTGTATGCCTGTCAAGGAGTTAGATATAGGAAGTTGGAAGTCATTCTTACAACGGTGAATACTTAATACTTCCAATCCATAAATCGTATAATTGTTTCGTTGCAATTTCCTTTTATATATATAGAAAAATTTATTATTCCTTTTTTGCTTACCCTCTATGTGTTTAGAGCATTGAGAAGCTCGGCAAAGCTGCTCCCGGTTATTTTCGCAACCACCTGATGCCAAAATTGCTTGCGGTCCCTAATATTGATAAGTTTGCTTATCTCAGTAGGGAGCAGCGTAAGGTCACTTTCTTCGTTGTTTTGTTGACTCTATCCACTTTTGAGTCCGTTCTATGTTTGGTGCTTGGAACTTTATAAAAGAAGTTTGTCAGTTGATATTGATAAGAATTAAATTCTCATCTTAACACACACACCAATTTGCTCTCCCTTAAACACACACATCTATATGCATACCGAAGTCTTAGATAAATCTTTTGTTATGACACATTCTAGGAAAATTGAGATTGTCATAAGGTAGAATGTTTTCATATCGCTACTGGTTTTTACTTAGGTTTTGCTGGTTATGATTTAAGTAATGCCATTTCTTAAATGTGTATCATCAGCTATTACAGCCTTAAGGAGGAAATACGTCCCCTAATGCAATTATATCCGTTCTCGGTTACTCTCACACTCTTTCACTCTTTTTTGAGGATTCATATGTTGCTTATGGATATTAGATATTGATGCAGTAAAAATGCATTCTTTATTTTAGATAATTATGCATATTCTGCTTTTCTAGTTTGTCAATTTAAGTTACCATTGTGAAATCTTGATTCACTGGAGTTGCTTCTGAAATGGGGGATATCAACAGTTTACATTTTCAGTTTAATGATAACTTACCAGTGTTCTACTTGCGCATCAGATTTATCAACCTGAGGAAGAGGAGGTTCAAGTAGTCACAAAGAAAGTGGAAGATAACACAAAAGAATATGAAAAGGCAGCAAATCGTCTAGTTAATGCCTGGCTGGTTAGTTCCCTCTGTATAAAGCCCTTAATCTATGAGCCTTTTTTTAGGTTTAAATGTCTGCTATTGCCCCCCCCCCCCCCCCCCCCCCCCTCCAACACACAAGAGTCCCAGTAAAAATGTGATTTAGAAAGAAAAAAAAAGTTTGGTGGAACAAGGTCAAGGGGTGGGGGACTGAAACATTGGACCTAGACCCTCTACTGGTGGTTTAACAAAGGTACTAAGCATATGTTGTTAAACAATGGTGTTAAGAATTTGAATTGGGACTTGCTTAAATTCCGAAAGATGCTAGAAAGTGATAATTGATTCAACTTGTTATTGGTGAACAATTATCTTTTAAAAAATTTGTTGAAGTTCAGAAATAATAATTGCATTTATGTTGGCTTTTTGTTTGGATGTAGTGCATAACTTGTATTGCCATTTTATAGGTATTGAGGAGATTCATCAATGTTGAAAAGTTTCGAGCTCGTGCTACCAAAGATGATCCAATTGAATCGCGTTCACCTGTGACAAAAGATGAACTTATTACTGAGGTATGGCTGTGTTCTTTATTGCTAGTAATAGTTTCTCTCACATCTCTATAATACAAATTGCTTGTGTTATATCTGGTATTGGTGTTGTATATGTGCTCTTGTTTTTGCAAAAGGAAAAACAAGTGCTCTTATGATTGCAAAGAGAGAGATACGTCTATAGAAGGTCTCTAAGATAAGAATATTTTTATGTGAAGTTTGTTTTTAAATTTGTTGGAGGTGTGGCTTTGTTTTTTTTTTTTAATGAGCTACCTATAAATGTTTGAGATGTGGATTTGGGACATTATATTTATATATTTTTTTATTTCGATGTACGCCATTGTTTTTTATTACTATAACCAAAATAATGGACTTGAAGTTTTTTGGACTTTTGGCAATAAAACATTATTTGTCGAGGTAATATAATTTCGAGTCTATTTAAATTTTATGTGTTTTAACTTTCATGTATTTTCTTTTTGGATTTTATTCTTAAGTTTTTTAATAAACACGTGATTAACAAATTCTACTTGCCTTCTTCAAGCAAATAGATTTTACCCAGTTGATTTTTTTTAGCCAAATAACCCCAATATCTTGCAGACAAATCCTTATCAAAATTGAAAACTCAAAAACCCGTATTATGGGAATATACCAGGCCTCAATAACAGATTTTTTCTAAACTTAAAACGAAACCTCAGTTTTATCAGACCATGAAAACTTAGTTTTTATCAAACCATAAAAACTCAGTTTTATTAAACCACAACCCACAAAGAAACACCAACCTAAATTACTAAAGCCAACTTTTTCTTGAAAGTTAAAACCTCAAAGAGACCTGCTTTAAATCCAAAGACAAAAGAAAAGGGTTTAGTGGGAGGCTCGGGTAAGAATTTTTTTAGGTAAGACAGTTTTTCTTTTTGTTTAGTGGTGTAGGACGGGAAGGTAAGAGAAAGGAAGGAGAAGAAAAACGGCACCACCAGGCAAGAGAAGTTTGCAGCACTTTGAAATTGTGAAAAGAAAGGAAAGGTGGAGGAGATAAACATATTGAAAAGCAGGACCGTTTGGAGCAAGGAAGGTGGGATTTTCTGGGGATTGAAATAGCGGGTCTTCTTTGTAGATCTAGGCATTTTCAAGTGTTTGTTGGAAAATCCATGCAGATAACATGAATAAGAGGACCAAGACGGACCAGTGAATGAATTTTGGGCTCATTCCGACAACGAAGATCGACGATCGACGGTGGATGACGGCGGCTACAGTGCTGGCCAGTTGTCAATTTCTGGGTTTATGAAATGCCGTTGGTTTTGGTGAGAGAGCAAGTGAAAAATGAAAGATTTGAGAAATTTTTTATTTTATAGTAAGAATTTAATTTAATAAAAAAATTAAAATCAAACTTTCGGGTCATATTTAAAGTATTTTTAATTAATAAAAAATAAAAATTTAACGATAAAATAAATATTTAATAGCAGGTATAAATCACTTATTTGAATACATTAAAAAACATTAAGTTTTACATTGATTTAAATTAGAATTAATATCTTTAATTGATAAAATGTCCAAATATTATATTTTTAATTGAGCATTTATTTTAAAAAATAATTAAGTAGTGTTTCATGTGTTACTGCGGTTCAATAATAAAAATATATCTATTTTATTAACTTGTGAAATATTAAATTTTTTAAAAATAAATATGAAAATCTATCATGAACGATAAAAAAAATTGAACTAGGTCAAGAATTTTGCATAACAAATAAACAAATTCATAATCAAATTCTTTCAATACCTTTTAATTTATAAGTTAAATTTTTTAATTAAAGGGTTTTACAAAAATAAAATATATAAATTAATCAATATATTTATTAATAAATCATACGGTTTAAATAAAATGATAAAAAAATACTTACAAATCAACAAATATTTTTTAAAACAAGTAAAATCTAGATGAAAATTGAAGAATAAAAAATAGGTAATTTTATTTTAAGTTTTTTCATAAAAGCTTTGGAAATATCAATAATACTAAATAGATTGAAAGTTAAATAATTAGATAAAGAATAAAAAGAGATTTCTTCGTTTTTAGATTTAGTAAATAAAAATTTTCGCTTTCTTCTCATTCAATGAACGGATTAATTTTGATAATGAGGTGAAAAAATTGATAATTATTAAAATTGAATATTTATTGATTTGAATATTCTCTTGAATAATTGTAAAGTTTTAATTTGTAAGTTAAAAAGTCTAATTGATTTGTAGAGATATACAATTAAACAAATAAAAAGATTTTTTTAAAATTAAAAATAAATTATTTATGAAGTTGATATAAGTTCAAATAAAATTACATTAGATGTGATTGAGACAACGTGATATGACAACGTGGTTAAATTCTTTTTATTTGTCTTTTTTTTTTTTCTTACTATGCCGATTACTTCTCCATGTCAAAGCCCAAAATTTTTTTTCCCTACTCTTTCTCTACCATATCTGCAAAATCTAACCTATAAAAATAGAAGAGAATATCAATGGGAGGATTTTGGTGAATTTTGAAGGTTATCTAATCATGGTGATACTAAATGTGATTAATGATAATTGCATCTTACATGCAACTCTTTTTTCTTACAGGATTACATTTATAAATAAAATTACACTCATAATCCAATAATTTTAAGGTAGAAATAAATACCCTTGATTGTTTTGTTAGACAGGCATTGGATTAATGGACTCACTTTGTTTGTAGTCTTATGATTCTATGCAACTCCACAACCTAACAATTTATGCATATTAAGCACTGATTAACAATGTGCTTGGATTGAAGAGAGAAGAAGGAAAGAAAAATAACATAAAATAAAATAAAAGAGACAAAACTTTTTTTCCCTTGAATAAATATTTAATTTAAAAAAAGAGAAAGAAGTAAAAACCAAATAACTTTTGATTTTTTTTATAAATTCAATTTTTTTAATATCCCAATTTAAAAGAAAAGTTAGAGAAAAGAAAGTTGAAATTTCTTTTTTTATAAAAAACTATTATATCTATCTTTTTATTAATATTAAAAATCAAATAAAAAAAACCTAAGCAAATCACATTTGTTTTGTAATTTTTTTAAAAGCATTTTTTTTTTCAAATAAATTTCATATATATCTTTCAATATAAAAATTTTTTATAATTTTTTGATGATTTGATTTTAATGAATAATTAAATATAAATAGATATATTTTTTATATTTATGAGATATCAGATTAATTCAAAATTTATCAATGCATATTTACAAAACATCTTACTGTTTCACTTAATTAAAAATCATTGATATAATAACAATTGTAAAATCAAACAAAATAACAAACATATTATGATTCAAAAATGCTTCATAATCACATAAATTAAAAAATTATAATTGAAAAAAATTATTATAATAAATCATTTTTTTTCTTTCACTTTTTATCCAAACAATAATTGTTAAAATTCTTTTTCTTTCCTTTCTTTTATTAATTTTAATTATAGTTACATATATCATTTTCTTTCTTTTAAAAAACTTTTTTTTTCTTTTTTTTCTTTTCCTTTCTTTTATTAATATTTATCCAAACAGAGTAAGAGAACAATAGTATGGGTTTTGTTGGCTCTTAGCTTTCGATCCTTCTGTTTCTCTTGAATTCAAATTATTTTCAATCCGTCCAATTACCACCTCGCCTCTAGACTCAACTCAAGGGTAACACATGGCAAAAGGAACAAGTTAGAGATGATAAATAAAGAGGGAACCTAAATCTATTGCCACAAATTGTTCATGGTTGATTATCACAAGAAAATTCCTACCATTGTGTTCTTATATATAGCAGAGTTTGGAGAATTGTAGTGGTGGTAGTTGCGTCAGCAAAGAGGCTGTTTATTTCAGAGATGTATAACAATTCGTATGCATATGGATGTTTGGAAACTGTGAAAATGAGGAGCAAAGGAAAGAAAACAAAGCTGATTTCTTCGAAGTGCTACTACAATCTCAACACATGGTGAATGTTAAGAATGCATAATCAAGATTGCATGGACTTTCATCAAGAAATATAAAATCTCAAAGCGAATCAAGGATTCAACAGGAATGAAGTCATCGATTTGATATTCCTAGAAATGAGTGAGCTGCTCAAGCTTACGAGTCTGGAAGAACTTACAACGCCCTTTGGCACTTGATTCCATTTCTTCACTCTTCCTCTTTGACGGGGTGAAACCAACATTCCTTAATTTCAACTGCTTTCCACTGCTGCTGTTAGCAACATCCTCATCCACTCTATCAGATTCCCTACAAATAGAATGCAAATCAACAAAATTTTTTCAAATAGGCAAACCTTACAGGTAGACATGTAGACATTATTTTTGGTAATCAAGGATCAGAGTAGCACGGATTAAGATTACCAATTCACCGTCACCCAAATTTTGATAGAAACAAGATCAAGATGAATATAATTGAAAATTCATTTTCTCATTTTATTCAGAAGCTGCTTTCTTAACTCTTCTGTAATTGAACAAATTTTAAGGTACTATTCTCTAACATTTCAAAACAAAGTCTCCCAAACCAGAAGGGTGGAAAATATTACATAGCCAAAACATCATTAAGCTGTCAGCCAAGAATACATTCAAGCTTGACTTTGTCTGCTTAAGTTGAGTTTTGAGTTTTGGGAATAGCTAAAGATTAATGCAACATGAAAAACATAGCTTAGAAGCTAAGGTCAAACTCTCTTTGCAAAGCTTATCAAAAAATCAAATAAAGGTCAAGCATCTATAGTAGTTGAGTCAATCTCAAGCATTCTACCAGTTAGCTCAGCTCATCTGTAGACCTATCCATAAACATAGAGAATAAATAATTCTAAAAGCATGTCAGGGTAACATCGTCTTTATGGTTCAAAACTGTTGTACCAACCAGGACTTTAGCATATATGCTTTTTCTTCTTTTCTTATAAATAATTAATCAGCTGTATTTCTTGATTAATGAGCACATATTGACATAGTAAACATCGTGAAGACAAGACCATGCACAATTATGCAGAAGCATTAAAACTGAAGGGAATTAGAGTGTTTGTACAATACCAGAATACTTCAACCATATCCTTGTAATATGAAGTGCATGTACCCCAACTGAAGCGAACCAGTGTTGGGAATCCAAATACTGAGTGTTTGTGATGTGCCAGCCAGGCCTTTGTTTCAGGATCTAGATACATCACAGATAACCAGATTCCTTGTTTAATTAACCTTTTCTAATATAAAAAAAAAAAGAGAAGTTATGGAGAAAGATGATTTCAAGCACTTTCAACCTCCTGGATATCCAGAACCAAAACTCCTATGCATGTTTTCAGTTGTTTCCTCTAACACCCATTCTCGCAAGGCTTTGTCTCTGGTTACCTGTGGGTTAAATAAAATAATAATAAAAATTAAAATGAAAGCAGTTTAGAATGAGCCAAAGGTGAGGATTTGAAAAGGGAAGCTAATTACCTTAGCAACTATGCTTGCCCCACTCACAACTGGATAAAGACTATCAGCCTTCTTTGCAACCACAAATTTGATGGAAGGAAATCTTTCAGACAATTTGATTCTATACTTGTCAGCATCTCCAACTGTATCAAGGTAAACCTGAAATACACGGACATACTTCCCCCTTCTAAGTTTTCCTTTCCCCAAGCAAATTTTAAACAAAAAGGGTGTTGCTAGTAAATTTTGCCTAGGGCTAACTCTACAACAAACAACAACACACTAAGTCTTATATCCCATATTCTGAGGTCGGTTGTATGAAAAATCAAATAAAAGAATCAAATTAGGTTATAGTTTGAATCCTCTTCCACCACTCATTTCTATCAACAACCATCTTTTCCTCTAATTCCTTAACCATTATATCATTTTTTATTACTTGCATTCATCTCTTTCATGGTCTACCTCTAGATGTTTTGATCTCTCCTAGATCTAAGGACCAATTCTCCTAACCGGTGCACAGCTAGGCCTACGTTTCATATGTCCAAACCATCGCTAATGGCCCTCTCTCATCTTCTCTTCAATTCAGACTACCCCTAATTTTTCTCGAATTTCTTCATTTTTGATTTTGTCTCTTTTAGTCTTACCACACATCTATCTAAGTATCCTCATCTCCACTACGTTCATTTTCTTTTCATGTTGTTTCTTAACAGCCCAACACAGTGTTCCATATAGTAATGCAGGGCTAACTCTAAAAGGATATAAAATTAGGAGGAACATTCACTAATGTTGTTTTGCCTTAGCTACTGCAACATGTACTAGGTAGGAAGTCAGAGGTGGAATGCTACTTAATTAAGGGTTAACCATCCCCTCCTAGACATAGGTGTCATAACAATATAGTCACTGCACTTGACATGTGATGACCCAAAATATCAAGTTTGTCATTAATAGAGTTTTAAGGTTCTTAAATGTAGGAAGCAATACCTAGGAACTCTTGTTATCTTAACTGTAGGGGTTTACGTTGTAACATAGGAAAACTTATGGCACCTTATGACCAACGTTGTCTCCCAAATTTCACTGAGTGATTGAGACAGCACCAAAAGATCAAACTGCACTTAAATAGCCATGAAGGCAGCTGAAATGGAGAGAAAAGAAGGCACACACACCCCTCATGCTGCTGAGCAATTCAGAAAATTTGTTTTCTAAATTTGAAGCATTAATAATTGAGTCATTTTGTGAATTCAAGGGCTGATCTTTGATTCAACATTTAATACTGAATTCTGTTTCATATTATTACACTGTTAAATTTGATTTTGCGGAAATGAAGTGTTACAGTCTATTTTTTGCCACATCTGGCTGAAATACATTTTTTTATTGCAAAACAGCAGCTTCCAGCCATTCAAACATCCAAATTTATTCTGGATCACAGATAATCATATTTTTCATCAATCAAATGTTAACTAGGTATTCCAGCTTAATTTACCGTGTTGGATGTTTCTGGACAATTTTGTCAAGATTTCTTGATTTCTATAAAATTAATGCAGAATTTCACCATTCTACAATACTTTTGATGTGCTCAATCATTGTAAACTATAGATATTAGCCTAAATTAATCTATCAAACTGCTACACTAAAAACTAGATGAATGAACTTTTACTTGCAATGTATGATATATTTATCAGAATTTTGTAACTTTTTAATGAAATTGAGATTGAGCAATGAGACTATGAAATGTATAGTTCTTTGAGTATGACCTCTTATTTGAAGCATTGAAACTAACTCATGCTTTTTGTCATCTTCCACACATCACATCAGTGAAGCCCCAGATTTTATGTGCCAATTTGGATTTCACTGATGCGATATTGAACACATCCAATTCACTGGGCAATTGACCCGACCAATCCTTTGACAGGAGTTTGGACCCATCCAATTCACTTGTGGCATTTTAGTAAATGGACTTCTGAGCACTTAGTAGTCCTCCACTACTAAGGGAGTTTGACCAGTTTATATGCATCCACATTACTTTAAGTTTCACTTTATTACTTTCAGGAGAAATTATGAATGCTTAGATTCTTTCACTTGCTAGATCATTACATGACATATTCAAAACTGAATTGCAAAACAATTCGCTTTGAAAGTGTCCATTTCTGTCATAAGAAAGTATGTTATACTAATTTCTAGTTTGAATTTTTTTCAGTGCAAACCTGTGAAGTCTACATTTGTCATTGTTTATTTTCAGTATCTGAATCATTAATTTTGATATATATCCTTAAAGCTCTTTTGTTTGTAGTCTTATTCTAGTGTGTTGAAAATACCCAATTTGGCCTAGCTTACTTCCCATCATGCTTATTTGGGCATATTTCATTTAAATATGATTAGCTTAATTATTGAACTTTATAGCTCACTAAATTGCTTCTCTTTTCATATTAGAGCTCAGAAAGTTGGGTTGGAGTTGCTTCCTTTTCATATTCATGCTTGTATGTTATACCAAATCCATGAATGTATATTTTGTGTTGTTATGGGCCCAGGTTTATGTTTCGGAGGTGTTCTTGTACATTTGAGGTATGACCTTATTTGAAACAACTTGATTTTGTAGTAAATTACTAAAGGGTTAAAGCAAATGCAGAAATGTGACTTTGTTATGTGGGTTTTTGATATATGAAATAGCTGGGTATGTTTAAAACAAGTCATTATGCTTTTCAGAATGGTTTGAATTCTACCTCATACAGTAATTTTCTAGCTTCCTTTTATATCTCCAAATGGCATTAACTGTTAAACATCAGTATTAGTTCATTTTTGTATGTTTTGATCTTGGGTGAAAAGTATGTATGTGTTGCTTGGGGTATGGCTTAGGCTATACTTCCATGCATGACAGAACAAAGGTTTGAAGATATTAATTTTTGTATGCTAAGATAAATAGATTTTATACTTGTGCATTCAAAATCTAGGAGTAAAATCCTATCATTGATCTTTTTTTTTTTCTTCTCATTAACCTCTTTCTAGTTTTAGATTAATCAGAATATCCAAGCAATATTTACCTCATCCAAAAACAATTAGCATTTTATGTTTGCTTAGTCAGTATGGTCAGTATTTCTTCCAAACTTTCCTCATGCATAACCATCCAAGAGTATTCAGACTTCCATTCCAACTGTCAATTGATATTACCTTACAGCATCCAAAAGCTAACAACTAATCAAACAATGTAACAGCTCATAATAATAACAACATGCCATTTAGTTCACTTTGTTATGCTTGTAAAGTACCAAAAATACTTGAAAAAGCCATACTAAAATAACAAATCTTTTCAGAAAGGTTAGAGAAAGTTCTACCTCAGTTAGAAGAACTCCCATGTTTAATACCCTATTGATCAGGCCAATTGCAGAATCATGTGATATTTCGTTCAGGTTCACCTTATTCCTGTTGATTAAAACGCATGAAATCTTGTAAAAGATCAGAAAAACACAAGGAAAAACTAAAAGATGTTATGATTTCACAACTGACTTCTTTAGCATTTTAGCAGAGAGCTCCCTCGGATCTATAACATCAACAGACCACCCTATCGACTCATCAGCCTTTAAATTCTCGAACAATTCTTCCCTCTTCTCTTCTTTTAGAGTCTTTGAATCTACAGGTGACAAAAGGAAACTGTAAAACTCATGAAACCAAATAACTTCTTTTAAATTTATAAATAACTTTTTCATGATATTAACAAATACAAGAATTTTGGTTTATTTTTTATAGCTTAAGATGAGGAAACAAATGCAATGTTGGATTATAACCACAATCAGTTAACTTAGTTAAATTAGCCTTTGTGAAATGCTTTTGAAAGAAAATCAGACCAAAATTTCCATACTCAACTGCTAATTTCCTCAAAGACATTCTTTTCTTCCCTAAATTTATCTGCTTAAACCAACCTAAAAAGAAAAGAAAAGAAAAGCACATAGTTTTTATATTAAAAAAAACCCCCAAAATTGTTAAATAGAGCCTTTACATTGTATTCCACATTCTACATTATGCCTTTCAAGTGCCTAACAGTATAATATATCATTATTTCAACGTCTAAAATTTGGGACAAAATGAAGTTAAAAAGGAAAAAAAAAAAGATATTTAGAGGGCTTTGAACCTGCAAAATTCAAGGTAGCAAGAGTTTTCTGATAAGAGCGAGCACAGTAAAGGCATCCGTACACCATGGGTCCTGAAACCAACAAAAGCAAAATAAAATCGGCCAAGAAAACATGGCTAAACCGTATGCTAAAAGTTGGGGAAAATCAAAAGGACAAAAAAGACAAGGAAGAGAACAGAGAGAGAGAGAGAGAGAGACCTAAAACAGGGCCACGGCCGGCTTCGTCGATGCCCATAATGCAAGGAGTAGAGGCCCATTTGGGAAGAGCAGCTTCCGATCCCATTTCCGTTTTCCACAATCTGATTCACTCAAAAGGCCGCCTCTATTCAATATTTTTAAGACTTCCTTTTTTTATTTTTTTTTATTTTCACTATTCCCGCCAGAAATCAAAGGGTTTTGGTTTGCCGTTTGCGCCTTTGTTATTCCCGTACCCCGTTATTAGAACTTATAAATTTCTCTGTAACTAGTGGACAGGCGTCTAAGGAAAGAATTACAAATCTATGATATCTACCTATAATATTGGACTAGAATTAGAACTCTGCTTCGTTGAGATTATTTTTTTATTTTAAAAATTAAATTTTAAACATGTTAGAAGTAAATTTTTTTATGTCAAATGTTAATTAATGATAATATATAGATAAATATAAGTATATTTTATTTTTTAATATAAATTATAACTTAATTATATATAAAAATATTTTTTATTAAATTAAGATATTAAATAATATTTTTATTAATATAATACATATAAATATAAATTAAATAAATAATAAAATATATTTTTTATATATTCTAAAAAGGTTGGACAAAGCATTTCAAATCTAATCCCGACTTAATTTAAATTATTTAAAAAAAGTAAAATTTAACCTAATTTTTATTTAGAAAAAATGCATCGATTGAATTATGTCGAATCAAAATCTATCAGATATATGTTATTTTATTATAACTACATTAATTGAATTTTTTTAAATTTATTTAATAAATAAATTTTTTAAAAAATGATAAGAAAAGCAAATAGGATGACAAATGAATTTATTAATTAATGTATTAAATAATATTTTAAATAAAATATATAAATATAAAATTAAATAAATAATAAATATATATTTATATATACCATTGTAGAGGGATAATACCTAAACCCCAACTCTTATCTGAGCTCAATTTTTTTTAAAAAAAAAATTCAATCTAATTATCTTAAACTAAAAGAATGTGTATCAATTAGATTAAAGCAAATCGAAACACATCGGATATAGATTTTTTTGTTATTTTTTTATTGATTTTTTTATTATAAAATTTATCTAAAAAACAAAGTAAAAAAAATTTAAAATCATAAAACGAAAAAAAAAAAAAAATAAATAAATAAAGGAAAGAGGTGTTACGTGAAAACTCAAGATATAGTAAAACACTTTAAATCCGTCTTCAATCTAACCTCATTTTCAAAAATTATTTGATCGAATCTAGGTTGTTTTTTTTTTTTTTGTAAATGCACCGACATTAGATTGATATGAATAAAAACCAATTAAATGGGATTGTTCTATTTTCCTAATTTCATTGATTTTTTTACAAAATTTTTCTAACAAAAAATAATAAAATAATAAAATAAAATAATAAGAAAAAGTAGAAATTGATGGAAAGGTGAGGTGCCATGTGGACACCTTCCGTTTGCACTAATAATTACAAAATTAATAAAACAGATATTTTGCATGGTTGCACGTATCAATCTCTTGCGCTTTTTGCTTTTTTAGGTTTTTTGTATATTTGTTTATTTACTTACTTTTTTAATGCTTAATAAATATTTTTATAGTTATTTTTTATATTTAATAAATATTTTTTATATTTTATATTTTAGTAGGATCCATTTGATATTATTGACTAAAAATATTTTTTGATTTCATAATTTTTTAAAAAAATTATATTAACAGATGTGTGAACATGTATCACATTTCTTTTTTTTTCATTGCTATTTTGTTTTTTTTTTTGTTTTTGACTTTTATTTTTTAATTAGATAAATATTGTAACAAAAGAAATCGATAAATCAATTTTGTAAGAAAAAGTCAATGAAGGAATGGATGATAAAACAATTCTATTCGATGGGTTTCAATTTGTTCAGATTCAGAAAGTTCATTTGTTTATGGCTAAATTATCAATTAAGAACTTAACATTTGAGTGATTATTCAATTCATGACTAAGCGTTTTAATTTATATAAATGAAAATTAAAAGTTATTGACTTATAACAATGAAATATTTTTTTAAAATGGAAAAAAGGCAATAAAACACATGTCGTTAAGTTAAAAAAATATTAATAGATGAAAATTATGTGTATTTTTCAATTTTTAAAAATATTTTGCCCATATTCTCCCTTTTCAAATATATCTCTCTTTTTTTCTAGTTTTTCTTAATCATAAAATTTTAAAAATTTTAAAAAATTTTTTAATTATAACAATCTTGATTAGTTGAATCAAAATTTCTACTTAGCCAAAGGAATGTCCATTTTGGAAGCTTCAAATACAGTTTGAAAATATCAAGCTATTAATGGAGATTGTCATTTGCATAGCAAAAAGCATTAGAAAGTATATAAAAAAAAAAGGATAAACCAAAGAGGAGCTAGACAAGCGAGATAACAAACAAAAAAAAGAGACCAATGACGATGATAATGGTAGATTGATGAGGGAGATAAAGACAAATCCTAATTGCAAATCTTTGGGCACTTTCTCTTTTTTTACCTTGTTTTTATATTTTTAAAACTCATTTTTTCAAATTTATGTGAACAATGAAATTTTTTTTCCTATTTTTATGATTTCTTAGGAGCATGTACTTAAGGCTAAGAAAAGAGAATTTGGTTGGTCACTTAAAGATCTTGACTGGCCCAACATGGTTTGTTTTTTTTTTTTTTTTAAATTTTCTTCAATATTTGATTAAGGAGTTGAAATGTTGTTGATGATATGTTTGGGGTGTTGAGTTTACAAAGAATGATTGAAAATAGTATAGGAAGAACCAAGCAAGGTGAAGGAAAAATCATAAATGTGAAATTTGTGGAAGAAATAGAGGAAAAGAAAAAACTAGACGAATTTGTGGAAGTCGCTGGAAACTCAAGTGAAGAGTTAATTTTTTTCTTTAACTTAGAAGTTATTAATTGATAATGATTTTTTTATAAATTACATTTAAAACTACTTTTTTGATAATGGTTTTTTTTTATATAAATTACATTTAAAATTAATTTTTTGTATCATCTTGCACACGTGGATAATAGTATTGCCATATCAGTAGAAAATGATACTATTGACTTGCCACATCAACAAAAATATCAGACGAGTTGAATAATTCAATGTTTCACTTGAGCTAACGATGCATGTAGTGTACTTTCTAAAATTTGTCAAAGAAAATCTTATATTATTACAAGTCGATAATGTTTAATCATCATTTGTATAAAATAAAACATTTAGTCAGGAATTGAACAACCACTCAAATGTTAAGTCCTTAATTGAGCATTTAGCCTTTTTTTTTTTTTAATTTGGATTGGATCAATTTTTTTTTTTTTGAAAATCGAGATTTGTTCAAAAGCAAGTTTAGGGTCTTTCACCTCTTTGGATATATAAATACATTTTATTATTTTTTTAATCACATATATGTATTATATTGAAAAAGTAATTATTTAATATTTTAATTTAATAAATTTATGTGGCATCATTCCCATTTGGTTTCCTTTTGTTTTTTCCTCCATTTCCTTTTTTTTTTTTTAATTTTGACTATATTTTTCATTAGATAAGTTTTGTAAAAAAAAAAAATGTAAATAAATGTAATGACGACAAAACAAACCATATCTTATGGGTTTCAATTTTTTTCAATCCAATATGTGGTGTAAGGTTTTAAAAAATTCGATATCAAGTCAAAATTTTTTCTTTTTTTAAATCATAGTCGCATAAAAAACGGGTTTAAAGTGATTTGTTTTAACGAAGTATATATATAATTATATTTTTAATTAATTATTTAATTATATATATGATCAAGCTAATTATTATTGGTTCTTAATTAATAAGATTATTTTTATATTATTTAATTTAAGATAAAATTTATTATATTATTATATAATTGCTTATTTTTGTGGTTGTGTTTAAGATTATTTTTTGATTGATAGCATCTAATTTTCAATTTTTTCTTTTTCTTTTTTTTTTTTGCTTTTTTCAACTGTCTTGATTTTTTAAAGTTTTATTTGAATTTAGATGAATTTTGAGAAAAAACATTTGAGCTGTCTACTGGTAAAAATTTTGGATTTTTGTAATTTTGTTTGTAATTAAATCATTTTTAAGAAAAAATGTATTTGATAACATGAATAAAATATATAAAAATTTCAATTTTATTTGATCCAATAGAAGATTAAATTTTTGAAATTGAATCATGGAAGCAATTAGCTTTAAATAAACAAGGGGTTGGTGAAAAGTTAATGGTGCTTTACTCAAATTATCTAAGGGTATATATGAAAGTATATATTTTAATATTCATAATACAAAATTTGCACCTTTTTTACCTCCACGTATTGTCCCTTTGATGCATTTTTTCCCTTTTTTCTCTCCATATTTAGTAAATATCTTTTTAGATTAATGGTGGGATTCATTTAATATTATTGAATAAAAATATTATTTATTTATTTTTTTAAATTAGATAATTTTTCCTTTTTTTTTTAGTTTTTTAATTAAAAAAATTGTAATAAAAGAGTTAGTGTAAAGTGATGGGACTCTATTTTGATTTTTTTTTCTTTTTTAATTTTTTGCTTGATTGTTTTCATTTTTTTGCTTTTTGCTTTTTTTTTGTTTTTTGTTTAGTATAAATCTTACACATCCATCCATACAATAAATCTATCTATCCATGCATCTTTAAATAAAAGGTTGTAAGATTTTAAGAGCAACAAAATGCCCACGTGGCATCTCTTTAGCTCATTTAATTTTTTTTTTACATTTTACATTTTACATTTTGCTTTTTATCTTTTGTTTTTTTAATTAGATAAATTTTGTAAGAAAATAATGTCATTTTTTTGCTTTCATTTTTTATGTATTTTAATTAGATAAATTTTATAATAAAATGATCCAATTAATATTGATAGCAAAATAATCAATATCTGATGAGTTTCAATCCGTCTCGATTCATTGTGGGTATTTTTGTAAAAAAATGATTTCAAGTTGAGTCAGGTCTATTTTTTTTAGAAAGTGAAGATAAGTTTGAAATGAATTTAGGATACTTTCCTAGGCCACCTCGTGATAAATATAAAAAAATATATTTTATTATCTATTTAATTTTATATTTATATATATTTATATTATATTAATAAAATTATTATTTGCTACATTCATTTAATATATTCACATTTTAAACTCCGACATAGCACCCTAACATCTATTTTTTATTATAAAGTTATTATCCGATATCTTAATTTAAAAGATTAACATTTTAAACTTATTAAAATTTTTACGTAGCACCACAATGAGCTTTTTTTCCCTTTTTTTTTTCTTTTTTTTCATTTTCATTTTTTATTTTATACCTTTTTAATTAA